TATATATATAATATAGGGGAATCACTAAATTCAACCCATTTTATTCCCGCCACAACCGAAGCACGTATCTACAACCAACCATAGTAAACACAAACTTTGTCGAAGTAATTTACTCTCCAAGGTTACAAGAAATAACCGATTTTCCGCAATTTAAATTTACCTAAATTAACAAACAAAACGAACAGATCCCTTCCGGTTTAGTTCTGTTTGGTCCAGAAGAGCTTTGACAGCGATCGCCGACCCAGAACAGATTCCACCCAAAATACCGAGTCAACTCGGACACCCACCCACTCGGCAACCCAGCCGAGTCTAATCAGCCAGCCACGACCTGCTTTACGGCGAGTTTCCAAGCCGAAGTGGCTATGAGCGGACGGGTGTGCCAACCCAACATCAGGCAACCGTCCTTCTCCTCCACGCGGTAACCTTCGCCGCCGTTGAACAGAGCCAAGAGCATGCTAGCTTGCTTGAACGCGTTCGAACCGAGTTGGACCGGCGAGAACCCGGCCGAACAGAATCGGGTCCGCCACTGAGTCAGGGTCTCATGACGCTCGACTCGGTCCGAGCCCTCGCAAGCCACCACGTTGCAGATCTGCTTCCCCAGGTAAACTTCCGACATGACCTTGTCTTGGCTGTTCGCCACTCCTTCCAACGAGTCGAACAGGGTCGAGTAGTAATGCAGGGACTCGGTAAACCGGTCGAGTAAAGCTGGGCTGTTGTGGTTCGATTCTTGCTCCACCACGGTGAAGATATCTGGCTTCGTCCGTTTCACGACGTCGAGGACCTTCTCCATCGCGCCTGGTCTGGCCAGGAGCTTGTGCAGCTCGAATACCGAGTTGACAGCCACCGACTCGTTCTCACTCGGGCTGAGTTCTAGCATCGACGCCTCCAGATCAGCCAAGCTGTTCGCGACGAAGCCTCGGAATTCGAATTCGACGTGAATTGCCTCCGCCAGCTGAGCGAGGTTACAGCCAACATCGTGAAGGTAATCGGAATTGTCCGGCGCCGGAGGTCCGATTCCGGTAAGCCGGAAAACAGGAGGTCCGCCGGGTCGGAGGGCGAGGGCCTGCATGAGTGCCGGCCATTGCAGGCCTTGGTTCATGGAGAAATCGATGACATGGACCCTTTTCTTGCCTTCAAAAGCTTCGAGGATAGCCTGGTTTGCCGTGAAGTGGGCGAACTTGAGGTAAGGACACGTCTCGTAGAAGTGCATCTGAAGAGTGTCGGAGAGAGAGTGGTCCTGCGGCGGACAGAGGCGGTAGATCCGCCGTGCGAGGGCTTCGGCGAAGTAAGTGGCGACCTTTCGCATGGCGCCGGCCTGCGACACCGCCAAGAAGCCGATTTGCTTCACCAGAGCTTCAGCTAGGGATAGGTTGTTCTTCTGCACGGCTTCGGCGCACGCCATGAGCGCCTGGACCAGACGGATACCATTTTCCTGCGAGTCGACCAGGACTACCGCCCGAGTTGACTCAGCCGCGGTGGTGGTTATCCTCGTACCGGCGCACCCGCCGATCTGCACCGCCGTGGGTGTCGGAGCATACTCAGAGATTGAGCATTTTAACCGCTTGTTAGCATCCCCACCATGGTTCGACGAAGACGACGAATCGAACACAAACTGCGTCCGCGTCCGCGGCGGCGGCTGAGGATAAATCGCGTTTCCAGGAATGGCTTTCAGTTCGTAATCCGAAGAAGATGGCCCGATGAAGCCCCGAGAGTGTTGATTCGGCGCTCCTAATCCGATCGAACTGACAGTGGAGGATTCGGCCCCTGAGAGAAACGAAGTATCCATATTCAGCGGCGCGGACAGAAGCGGACCCAGGCTGCCGGCTCCGACCGCCGACGTCGAGGGATTGAACTCGGACAACATGCTGTCGAGCCACGTGTACAGCTCAGATGGGTTGTAGTGCACTGTCTCCGTCGCGAAATGAGACAGACCATCCTCCTGAAAATGACCCATCATCTCTTCGAGCTGCTCGAGCTTCTGAGCGACCTCCGCCATTTCCGAGGATTTGACCTTGTAACCGAGGACGGCGAGGAGCTCATCCATTCCGCCGTCTTCCTCCAAGAGCATCTTACCCGAGGAGGAAGAAGAAGAAGAAGCCGGGTCGGGCAATCGGGCCGGCTGCTGAAAATGATCGTGATACCTCTTCATGATTCGATTAGGGTGTTCTCCGATGGATCTCCCCGGATGGGTTTGTTTCCTCCTCCGATCTCGGATCTAGGGTTGCTTTTTCTAGCCGAAGAAAAGATTCGAAGAGAAGAAGAGAGCATGTGACTGTGTGAAGAATCTATGCATTGGGGATCGGGTGGGGTTTTGCTTGGTTATTCACTTGGATTATCAGAAGAAGCGAAAACACAAAGAATTATAATTACCAAAAACAGATAAATAAAAAATAATTAGTATTGAGAAATTGGGGGAAAAAATGGGCTCACAACAGCCGCATCTACTGCTCAAATAGATAAGGTTGAGAACTCATACGCGTGATTAATTTAAAACAGACAATAATGATAATTTTACATATTTTCCTCATGAATTCAATTTTTTTTCTGTTTTATTTAATTTATCCATTCGATCTTGAGCATGTGACGTCGTATATGTAAGCGATTGAGGTGCTTATTTCACGATTAGATTATTTTTAAAAAATAATTTCAGATAATTTTTTTTTTCAATTTCTGTGTTATTGTTCATACAAATTGTTGCACGCCGATTGTAGAGAGAGATTATTTTTCTTTTCCGCGAGACGGTCAAAATGTATGCTTAAGATATCATACGTGTGATTTATAAAATTGAATGAAATTAATCCCAAAGATTTTACCATTTGGACTATGTTGAGGCCTAAAGCAACAAGAACGAATCGTGTAAAATGAAAAATTACAAATCTATAGTATCATTCATTAGATTTGGGAAATCCAAGGACTGCATCGGTTTTTTGTTCGTGCAAAGGAACAAACGAGACATTCATTGATAAAATTCATGACGTAGTCTTTTTTTTTTTTTATAATGTGTGATTTGCCAATGATAGAATTCGAAGCTGGGTGGATCACTCTTTGCAGATACCCATTTACCAGTTGAACCATCCACCATGGTCATTGTCTTTTATTTTTCTGGTAATAAAATGATATAATAACTCCCACCACCATTTCGGGGTTTCGGTTCAGATTCAGTTCATTTATATTCGGATTTAATTATTTCAGTTATAAAAAATTATAACCATTGGATTTTTATATAAAATTTGGTTCGGTTCAATTTGGTTTAGTTTCAATAAAAAAATTATTTTTTTCAAAGAAATTATCGGTTTTTTTGTTATTTTTTAATCCGTTTGGTTCAGTTCGGTTTTTATATCGGATCCAGTTCGGTTACAGTTATATCGGATTCGATTTGATATGTTTCGATTATTCGGTTAATAACCACAATACCACCTCTATCCCCACAAAACTTAAAACTTAAATCCGGTCAAATACTCGGAGGAAATAGACATAACAATATTTTTAATTTAAAGTTCAAATTTTAATGGAAATAATTTACCTTTATATACTTTTTCGCTCAATTTTTAGTTGGTTCTTTTAATGAACTGAAGCAGGAGCTTTAGCAGAGCATAATTAAATCCACTTAAAAGCTGAACTGAGTTCATGATACTGTTTTAGTTCAATAGGTTCAAAGGTAATAATGTAGCCATGTTTTTTGGGGGGAGAAATTAAGAAAAAAACAATAATAAGTTTATTCATGGCTCCCATAAATATATAAAAAAATATTAAATTTAAAGCAATATAATCTGCACATAATCCATTATTATTCGCAAATCCTGGTTGAATTTGTGATGAGTATGATTTGTGCATTTTCCGAATCCCTTTTTTACTTGGAATATTGAATTTGGATTTTCGTTGGACCTAAATAGACCGTGAACACAAAGATATTATTATTATTATGATTATTAATTTATTAAACAGTGGAGGTTCTAATCTTTTATTAGTAGGAAAGCCTTGAGTTATACATAACTATCATTTTAAGCTTACGCATTCAGAAAAAATTAAAATATAAAAGTATACATTTAATATGGTAATTTGCGTGACAGAGTATACATTAACAATTTCAAGCTTCGTAGATCTAAAGATTCCTCTCCCCCTTTTTTTGATAAAATAATATACAGAAGCTACAAATTTATAGATATATATAAAAAAGAGCAACCATCCCAGTCCTTTTATAATATGAGTCAGTGCATATCGGTGCAGATTTGTTATTTGATTTATATTATATTATTTATTTTTTTACACAATGGCATTTCTTTTTTTTTTTCTAATGGAGAGCGAGTTCCTTTAATTGTTACAACAAAACATGAAACAAATCTCGAATAACGTTCTATTAATTATGGTTTACGGATATGGCTTTGTTATTTATACCCGTTTTTTTTTATATATTTGTATTTTTTTTTCACGACCCGGAATATTCAGCAAAAAACGTGTTGGAAAAGCGATCATTTGTGTAAAATTAAAGTTCCGAGAAATTAGAATATATATCAACTTTTTTAAAGAATGACGAAAAACAGAATTATGAAAAGACATATTTCAGTACATTAATTTAAAATTCATATGAGTTTTCTTTAATTTTGTGAAATTATAGTTTTTAACCAAAAAATTTGTTTTTTTACAATTCACCCCCTAAAGAATTCCGTCCACTACTCAAGCGCCACTGAAGAAGACGGCACCTCGCCTGATTTTAAAACAAATAAATAAATTATTCTTGCAGCAGGTATTGTGGGGCCCATATCGGGAGACTGGAACTGACACAACGTGATGATTCCACGTATACATGGGTCCCACAGTCCACGGAGCCCTCACCACGCCGTACCCCCCGTAGAGGACTCTTGAGGTACCACCACCTGCCATGTGATTCTTACACGTGTCCCCATTTTCACCCTTGCCTTTTCCGTTACCTATTTTTGCCTTTTACAGTGTACTGCCGTTACCGCCCGTCATTTTCTCGTGTATTTTTTATTTCCAGTTTTTTAAATTTCAGTTACCATTGATTCTAAATGTACATTAGTCTTATACATTATGATGCTTATATCAGGCATTAGGACATAAATTCTCGTGGTCTTGTCGTTGACCAAATTGTCTTTTGTTACCCTTCACAGACAGACAATTACTGATTTCAACCCTTTCGGATTAATTTTGCGTTTATTATTATTATTATTACCTTTAAAAAGAATGATTAAAATTACGATATATATACACACACACACACAATTGCAACTCAGCTCAACAGATTATTTTGTAAGAAAGTTAGAGTTACCCGTATTTTTATATGAATAAATCGTTATATTTTCCTATATAGATACATTAAATGATTGTACATACCAAATAAAAGTTAAATAAATGATACAACACTATCTAATTAGGGGGGTGACACAAGGAACTCCTTGTGCAATTGACTTTGTTTTATGGATAAAATAGACGCCCGAAATCAATGTTTCTATGTCTATCTCTCATCATTTTATTGACTCAAAAATGCTTGTATTAAGTATTTTTTTAGGTATGAATATATATACACACACACATATATATATAGGCGGTTGTGTGTTTGTGACTTGTTTCCTTATGGATTGCAATCAAGAATTCCACTCATTTTTATTTTAATCGTTCTCTTGGTGGAAGACATAAAATAAAATGGTGTCAAATCGACTGTCATAATATATTTTTTTGACAAAAATGTAATAATATTTTTTGGTCACATCACATATCATTCGCATTTTGTGACTTTTATTGCATAAGCGAAAAAGGACCACAAAAGTTGCAAGTGTTTGGTGGATTATTGTCAACTTTATACATGTATAAGCATTACGCACACACATATATCGCGCGTGTGTGTAATTTTACAAAATGTCTAACAGGCTTTGACAACGATGGATGGTTGGGTGTTTCGGTTCGATTTTTTAAATCCGAATTATCTAAAATTTTCGAACGGTATTAGTTTTAAAAAAATCGAAACTTTTGGAAATTTTAAAAAAACTTGAAAAATTGATAAAAAAAAAAGTAAAAACCGAGAACGAATCAACCTAAATATAATATAATAACCGATTGATACATCTTTTAATAAAAGCCTAAAAGAATCAAACCAAACTATTCTCGGTCCAAAGGCGAATTTAATACAGAAACACCGACCCTTGTTGACAAACATTCACCACATGCATGAATGTCACAATTATAATTATTCATTTTTAAAAAAAATCACTTCTACACGATTATATATATATACATAATTTTTGGAGGGATACCGAATGGCAAATGCGTATATACTTTGTTAGGTTTGGAAAATTAGATGTTATTTTACTCTCACCGGACGAAAGAATACAACAATACTAACATACACGATAAAGTCACGTGTCATTGGATCGTACACGCGTGACCCAGCAACAGGATCCACACTGTATACGTTGCTTTATTTTATCATATATATATATATACACACACACATATAAATGTTATTTCCGTTGCTATATATGGACGTATATATAATTTATCATTTTTCCATATTCACGAATCTCTGCTGAAATCCCAACAGATGATACGACGGCCCATGTGGACTTCACATTGAAGCTTCGTTTTTTTTTTGGTTGCATGTGGATGATGAGACACAGGAGCTTCGCACGTACCTGCATAGTAACAGGAATGGAATTAATGTTATAAGGCTTATACATATATATATATATATATATTGATTTGAAAAAAAGGGATATATATATATATTAATAGATAATAATAATAATAATAGTAATAATAATCATAATGATGGAAAGTCAAATATGCAAAAAAAAAAACATTTTTTTTGATGAAGTGTGCATATGAATCGGAGCAAGTGAAAATCTGTTGCCCAAAAGGGACACACTGAGGATCAGACGTTGAGAGACTTAAGCTCCTCGATTTTTTAAAACATTATGTATAGCTTTTAATTGGAGGATAAATAGTTATATCAAATGTATTACTCCTACCAGGATTCAAATCCCACATGGACTAACCATTATAAAAAAATATTTAAATTAAATAACGAGATGATGTGGATAAAGAGGAAGGAGAATAACATTTTTGCTTTCTTCGTTATCTTTTCACATGGCATGGGACATCTAATAATCAATGAGAGCCGAAAGAAAAACGTGGCCTGTCGTCTCATGAACTTTTTTGTTTCATCTTACAGATTATTGAAAACTAAAATTACAATATATATATATATATATATATATATATATATATATATATTCTTCAAACCATCTCACAATTATAGTTGAATATCTCTACAAAATCTTTCACCAATTAATGGGTTCTTTCATTTATATTTGCCCAATAGTTTTTGGGCCTAACTTGTTAAAAAAAGATTATTTTTGGGCCTAAGTAGAAATAAATAAAATATATGGGCCTTACTATTAAGATGTTTCGATTATGATCGCCGACAATGAAATTTCGAAACTTTTCCTCTTATTAAAATAATTATCTTTCAATGCCTTTTGGTTAATCGTATGCTCTTATATCATATTATGCACATTTTGATGATGAAATAAAAATCATTGAAAGGTCCAATTTTTTCGTCTCCATATCATTTAAATACCATAACCATATGGCATGAGTAAATATATAATATCATCTTCCTTCATTATTTTGTCAAACATAAGTCAAATGACTGTTTGTTCCAAGCTGTAGAATTCATCAACTAATGATCATGATTGAAATAATTAACCACGAATAGAGTTGTATAATGTATTTATTACAACTCAGAGAGGGCCGATTCTATTCAAAGTTTGGTCATTTGTATTGTCATATATTTTTTTTTCAGCGATATGCTTTGCGTGTTATTCACTTAATTAAGAATCACATTTGATCTAATTAATCATATGCTCTGATTAATTACGCTTCTTTAAAACCCATCAACACACAAATCGATTTCTTTTCCATAATTTATAAAAAATAATGATCCCAATGTTTGCTTGAATGAATATGTCGATTCTTCATTCTATTTTAAACTGATTTTCTTGTTCAACAAATTTAAACCGATTTGTTTTTTTTGGGTCAAATATTGGAAACTGAAAAAATTAAGAAATATAATTTAAGGCAAGAATCGTGATTCATGATCTTTTGAGTTTGTCATATGATTATAGAATACTAATAATCCATATGCAAAAATAAAAAAAAAATGTTGTTTTGTTGGTGATAACAATCATAATTATTTAGAAGTAAATTATTATAATTTCAAACAATAAATTGTCATGATTGTTAGAATCTATTTCGATTTTTTTATTTGTTTATGTCCTCAGAAAATTAATTTAAATAAAAAACCAATCAATATTATTTTTTAAATACAAATTAAGAAACAAACTATTTCTGAAAATCAAATTTTATTATGTACAATTTTATTTAAATTAAAGTTTGATTTGAAAATAATTAATATAATAAAAGCCATATACACCCGACAGTTAAAGTTCTGGAAAAATGTGATCAGGCCATTGATCTCAAAAAATTTGCAAATAAGTGAAAATATACAAACGGAACGAGTCTGTCGTTCGCATCTCTTGCGTGCTTTCCTCGGTTTCTCTCTGACAGTCCCTGTGCTTCCCGTGAGTTTTCCCGGAGATTTTCTCGGGAAAATCTAAGACGATTTCCAGATCGATCTGTGCGGTAGTCGCGTAGTTTCCGATGGGAACGCTTCAGACATGGCGAAGAGCTTATGGAGCCCTAAAAGACACCACCAAAGTCGGCCTTGTCCGAGTCAACAGCGACTATGCCGTACGCCCTTTCCGATTTCTCCTTCCCCGCCCCCCTTTTTTAGCATGTTGATCGATTTTGGATTTCCTTAATTTTCTGCAGAAATTCTCTAATAGATTTGCGTTTGGTTTTGGGTATTTTCTGTTATTAGGATTTAGATGTCGCCATAGTCAAGGCTACTAACCACGTCGAGTGTCCTCCCAAGGAGCGGCATCTCAGAAGTGAGTGAATTGTTTTTCATTTGATTTATAGTTTGTTTTCTATTGGAATTCTTAGATCTGATTACTTCGTTGCACTTTCTATGGTTTTTGATTTTTCCTTTTCCTGGGTTCATGGTTCCAGAAATCTTTATTGCAACGTCGGCGACTCGGCCTCGAGCAGATGTTGCTTATTGCATCCACGCGCTTTCTCGGCGATTGCATAAAACCAGAAATTGGACGGTATGTGTTTATCCTCTCGGATGGAAGATTGTGATTTGATTTTTTTGTTAGGGAGATGAATTTCTGTGGTGCTTTTAATCGAGATAAGGCTTCGACCCATTCACAGAATTTGATATGTGCTCTTGTGGATCAGTATCAATGCATTTAAGGATTAGGTCACATGTTTTGATTATCTGATGTTATGTTTTTAGGATATAAGGGTTGTATGTTTGCTTGTTGTTGTCTCTGATCTCGAATCTGTGTTCGATTTCAATGATGGGTCTGTGGATAGTTTTGGAAGTTGATGTCTGTTTTTTATTCCAATGATTCATGTTTACTGGTGTTGTTCCTAACACCCTTCATTGGTATATACTTTTATCTTTTGCATGTTTTAACAGGTTGCGCTGAAAACGCTTATAGTCATACACCGCCTTCTGAGGGAGGGTGATCCGACATTTAGAGAGGAACTTCTGAATTTCTCTCAAAGAGGACGCATTCTGCAGCTCTCGAATTTCAAGGATGATTCAAGCCCTATCGGTAAGTTTCTTGTTGTGTATGTGTGTGTGCAGTTGTTGGTCAGAGATAATTAGGTTGTTCAATGTGTTTGGATAATTTCTTTTTGGTCTATTATCATTCTCTAGAATAGCTTTTTGCCTCCTGGGTTTTAACAAAAAGCTGGTTCGATATTTTCCTTTCCCTTTCACAGCCTGGGATTGTTCAGCCTGGGTACGTACTTACGCATTATTCCTTGAGGAACGGCTTGAATGCTTCAGGGTTTTAAAATATGATATCGAAGCAGAACGACTTCCAAAACCCGCCCCGGGGCAGGATAAGGTATCGTGTTCTCACCTACTTGAATTTGTGGCCTAAACTCCTCTGGTTTTCTGATGTTGTTCGATTTTTCAATTCTGAGGGTCAGGGGTACAGCAGAACCAGGGATTTGGATAGTGAAGAACTCTTGGAGCAGTTGCCTGCTTTACAGCAGCTTTTGTATCGTCTCATTGGTTGCAAGGTATTTCTTCGATTGTCATATCCTGACTTGTTCACAATGCCTTTCTTCCAAGTCTGTCTCAAATTCCATTTGTGGTTAACTTCGTTTTGCTTGTGTTGCGTCAGTATTTGCTAATAGCCTAATACGTGAATTGCTCCTACTCCTTTGTTTTTTCAGCCTGAAGGTGCTGCTAACCTCAATCGTGTCATACAATATGCACTTGCTTTGGTACGTGATAATCAAGCAAAGGATTAATGATTAGCACTTCCACATTTGGACCCAATACTTTGTGCTTTGTTCTGCAGATTGAGCATGTTCTTCAAGTGAAAACAAATATGTAGGCTGTATTGAATGGATAGAATATGAAATGATAGTATTAGAGGGAAACTAGTGGTAACTATAGAAGAGAAACTACACGAGAGGCGATTAAGATAGCTTGAACATGTAAGACGTAGACCGTTAGATGCTCCAATTAGAAAAGTAGAGGGTATAGAAATAGGAGAGAGGAAAAAAGGAGGGGTAGACCTAGACTTACTTGGGAACGAGTCGTTAGCAATGACTTGAAGGTGTTGCAAATGTCAGAAGATTTAATCCAAAATCGAAATGAGAGGAAACGGAGAATTCATGCGGCCGATTCCATATAAACTTGGGATTAAGGCGATGTTGTTGTTATTGTTGTAGGCTGTATTGACCTTTCTATGATACTGTTTTCAGGTGTTGAAGGAGAGTTTCAAAGTCTACTGCGCTATCAATGACGGAATCATCAATCTCGTTGATAAGGTATGTCCAGTTTATACAGCTTTGCCACCATAGCTTTCTTCCATCTCTATCTTCCTTGCTTTCTCCCATCTCATTTGCGTGTGCATTGCAGTTCTTTGAAATGCCAAGACACGAAGCAATCAAGGCCCTTGAAATATACAAGCGTGCTGGCCAGCAGGTGATGTTGTTAAACTAATTTCTCCCACAGCTCTGAGGAGATTTTTCACTTGTCTAGGAACCTCTTTATTGACGTTAAAATTTCTGATGATTTGTGTGTCTATATTCCTTGACATGTAACCATTATGGCCTCAGGCTGGTAACCTCTCTGATTTCTACGAAGTCTGCAAAGGATTGGAACTTGCTAGGAACTTCCAGTTTCCTGTTCTAAGAGAGGTATCATACGCTAACGCTAACACGAATCAAATTGGCAACAATAGAAAGTCTGCTGTATACTAAACGAACTTTACATCTTTTTTTTTTGTACCTAAGCCACCACAATCTTTTCTCACAACAATGGAGGAGTATATCACAGAAGCACCACGAATGGTCGACGTCCCAGCGGAGCCACTGGTATGCATATTTTACTGGAACACAGAGTTACAGAACCTCAATCCATTTTTTTTGGACTGACTTGGTATTGTATACATATAGCTTCTGACCTATAAACCGGACGAGGGATCTTCTGCTGAAGACGCCAATCCTTCCCATGAAGAACCTGAACCATTGCCTTCAGAAGATCCTATTGTACCGGATGAAGTGCCACAGCCCACTCCTCCGCCTCATTCAGCCGAGCCTTCTCAGAACATCATCGACACAGATGATCTACTGGTGAAAATCTTATTTCTTTATCTCCTTGATTTCCAATTTGGCTTTTGTCTCTCAAGTTTTTTTCTTTGTTCTATTTCTCGCATAGGGTCTGAATTCTGCTGTGCCTGATGCATCTGTGATTGAGGACCAAAATGCCCTTGCTTTAGCCATAGTTCCAACAAATGGTGGGTGTGTTTGTCCCTGTTTTTTAAATCTCTCTGCTATATGCAATATCTGCACAATTGCTTAGACTGGGGGGTTATTTCTTATTTTCTTTTCATTTCACTTCTCATTTTTGTTTTTTCTGATACCAGGAGATAACAGTTCTTCAGCATCTGGTTTCAATCCAGCAAAAGATTTTGATCCCACGGGGTGGGAACTTGCTTTGGTCACCACGTCTAGCACCGACATATCTGCAGCCACTGAGAGGCAATTGGTAAGACTTGTTTATTCTCTCTCATGTTTTACTAACCGCCTTGCCCTTCCATCTCTGGTCAAGATCCTGTGGACTCTGCTGGAGGTTTCAGGGTTTTGGTAGTGAATTATAGCTTGCCATTCATAAAATTTACTTCAACAAACAAAAAAACCATGGCTGCCACCTAAAATGAACCCCCCCCTTCAATATTGACAAATTTTTGCATCATTAATGGCCCCTGAACATGTGGCTGACCCTGTTTATGTGTCGAATGCTAGGCCGGTGGCTTAGACACGCTTACTTTGAACAGCTTATACGACGAAGGAGCCTACAGAGCATCTCAACGGCCGGTCTATGGGGCACCAGCCCCCAACCCTTTTGAGGTCCAAGACCCTTTTGCACTGTCCAATGGCATTCCCCCTCCTCCATCGGTTCAGCTTTCGGCTGTGACAGCTCAGCAGCCAGCAGCAAACAACCCCTTTGGCCCGTACCAGCCGCCGACCTATACACAGCATCAGCTCGTTCCCAGCCCTACCAACCCTTTTGGTGACTTTTCGGTTAACCCGCTTCCTCAGCCGACCGCCCATACCACCGGTTTTGGGGATTTTCCTGGTAACCCGGCTGCTCATCATCAGGCACATAACAATCCGTTCGGAAGCACTGGCCTCATCTGATCATTGTCGTCTTACGTTTTGAAATACGCTTCGTACCTTGTGGTTTTGATGTGGAGAGCAGTTAAATGTTGGTCTGCTTGTAGACAGAGACTGGGCCTGGCAGTGAATATATTGTAAAAAAAAAAATTCATTTGGTAATAACCCACTTTCATATATATATATATATATATATTCTCGTGAGTAAAAAGGTCGGGTGTATAGAGGGCCTCAGAGATGGGCCGAACAGTGTCAATAATAAGGCCCATCAGGCCTACCCAATAAACTTGCAACATATATGCACACACACACACGTGTGTGTGGGATTTTGTCTGTGTCATGTGAGTATGAACAGGGGTTGGTTCTTCGGTCTTAATCATTTCACGGGTTTCGTTTTCTTCGATAGAACACAAACCCCATCACTTTAGATCGCTATGGACATATTCTTAACACGTTCATATACACCTTTCCATAAATTGCTATAATAACTTTTTAAGTTTTGATTTTTCCCTCCTCACAAAGGGCCAGACGATATTATCGTATGCAGCTTTCAGTTTCACACTGTAAATTTGCCGTTTCTGATAACTTTGACCGAATTCTTATTTGATTCCCCCCAATATTCATGTGCCGGACAGCACAATTTTTGTTAAGGAAAAAAAAAGCGTCAATGCCTTTTGAAACCGTTTCAGACAAGAGACTGTAGATCATTGGAGACTTCTAGAACTCTGGTTAGATAACCTAAAAATTTAACCTTTTTCCTTTATATTTCATAGTTTATTTAGGCCCCCCAACTTCATTTTCGATATGCCCCATAACACAATATTGGTATCCATGGATGATCATCATCATATCTTGAAAAAGAAAAGAAATTGACTGCTGAATGCAATCTTCAGAAAACTTAGTAAACTTAGATCCCAGAATCCGTACAGAAAAAAAAAACACAAAATCCCCAAAACATTCATATACAAGATAACGCTTAAGCCTTGAAAAAGATTTTCACTTTCACACACTAACATAACTTAAAAAAAAACCCACAAACAAAAAAAGCTCAGGGAGCTCCGTTATTGGCGTAGCAGTTAACAAGAGCGAGAGCGTTGCTAGTGAACTTCTTCACGTCGGCGATTCGCTCGCCAACCTCCGCCTTGGTGTCGCCTTCAGCCGCGTCATCGAACCCGTCCGTACACGTGTCCTCGTCCGTAAGAGCAGCGCTCATCCACGTCTGCACATTACTCATCTGGAACCTGAACGTGTCCGCCGACCGCCGCGCCGCCGCTCCGACAGCGGGACGGTTGATGTCGCGGAGCTGCTTGAGAGATCCTCGCATCTCGTCGATCGCGTCGCCGACGTTCGAGACGCAGTCGTGGAGTGCGGCGACGGTGCGGTGGTCGGAGCCGTACTCGGCGGCGTGTGAGAGTTTGGCCAAGTAAGCAGCCGTGGACTTGGCGCGTGAGAGGGAAATGCCGATGGCGAGACGGGCAAGCCTCGCGGGATTCGCTTTCACGGCGGCGGCATAGCCTGAAAGCGAAGTGAAACACACGTCTGGGTACAGAGTCGCGTTGCAGCTTGTACGGATGAAATCTAGGTCGTTGGTTGTTGGTGAAGGGGTTTGGACGGCTGAGATTGGCCGGTGAAGGACCATCAGAAAGGCGGCGATGAGGAGAAACGTCGTCGTATGACTTTGGCTTTCCATTTTCGCACTCTGTTTCTTTCTCTCTCTATTTTCCGTTTATTTTGGGATTGGGTTATGGTTATGGAGAGCAATTGGCGGTATATGTAAGGAAAAAGTCGTTATTATTTGACGCTTGTGCCCATAGTCGTTCCATGAATTTACAGAAATGCCACTAATGATATATTTTTTTTGATGAAATCCACTAATGATATTGTCGTGTATGCGCTTTCGTATATCGTTCTTAGGTTGGTGTATAAGTAAAACCCAACCCACTATGGCTCTCGTGTATTTTTTTTTTTGGTTTTTATAAATATATCATGGTTTCGATTTCGAACGATAATAATACCTACGATCATCCGTATGTGTATAATTTCAAATCATTTCGTCGAACCCTTTATTTATTATTAGTTTCAACACACACACGTACTTGTGTACATATCTGTATATATATATATATATCGTGTGTGTATTTGTTTGTTAGAACTCATCAAAAAAGATTTATTTCTTTTCGTTTTTTTTAATAAATATTAATTATAGCTTTGATTAAGAATTGTTTGGCATCTAAAAAAAAGTCGTTAATTTACCGTAAAAGCAAAATCAATACAAGTAAATATGTTAATGAACGCATGAGAATTAGCCATATATATCCCCCGACACAACGTGCAATGTATTTTGATGAAGGGCCATCCTTATCTTTCGGGCCAACGATAATTGCTTCCGTTTATTTCTTTATTTATTTATTTATTATTTCAATTATCCTAACATTTCAGAGAATAAAATATTACGATCGAGTACGACAACGTCTATTAATACTCTGATTCGATGATGTGGAATAAGATGATCCTTTGTACGGTTGTGCCAATAAATAAAATAATTCAAACTCTCATGAAAATCGCACACATACGTATCTCCTTGGACATATATATAAGACAGAAATATCAATTATACAACCAATTATGCGGAAAACAAATCCACACACACACACACATATATATATATATATATATATATATGTATATATCCGTAAGTATTGTTTATGAGCGAACGAAAACTATAACGAGACATGATCAAATCAAGAATAGTTACATCGATTCGAATATCTTTTATAGGCAAAACAATTACACGACCAAATTTCGTCAAAACACACGAATCTTAAGGTGCTATCAAAACCTATATATACACGAGATATCCCTACAAATATGATCCGAATTATATATAATACAAATAAATATATGTGTATAGGTTTATTATAAGAGAGAAATAGTCTATTTTCTCATTAGTTGCGATCGGAACACGAAAGCGAATCGTGAGGTGAATATTCGGAAGAGGCCCCACCGAAAAACGGGGGAATATGTGGAGATTCGCCTACCATTTCCCTCGTGCTCTTTGATCCGAGAAAATCTCTCCACACGCAATCATTATTTCATTAAATAAACCTCCATTTATTTCCCCACATTTTCTCCTTCTTTTACGTTCCCCTCTTCCATTCAATTCCCTCCCCGATATTGGGTTAGGATATTCTTGATTGAGTATAGAATTCGCAATTTTCTATTCTTGATATAACAAAATAGATAAATACAAACTAAATCAGAGACACATATTAATATCTAAATTTCGTTATAGTAATTCAACTTAGTACGAGAGGAACTGTTAATTCGTACAATTGATCACCGTGTTTGGTACAAAAGTCATTGACACGAAGCTACCGTATGATGAATTATGACCGAATGTCTTTAAGACAAAATTTGTGTTAGAAACGACATATGAGCTTGTTGTCCCATTACCGGCTTTGAGTAGGAGCCTCACAAACCCGTGATGACCTTGAATTACGATTTCCACGAATTGAAACTTTTCATAATTCTCGATATAGAACAATGGTATATTATTAGAAATGTACACGAATATTTACGAAATATATTATATTGGTGAATATATATAAGAATATATTTCGCATTAACGAGTTTTCCAAGTGATGGACCGTTGGTTATGATGGGGTATATACCATATTTATATAGTGGGGAGGTAGCCGACTTCTCATTGCGTAAGGGATATATACCGGTTTTATAATCCTTTTTCGTATCTACTTTTAAAATATATATATATATATATATATATAATTATTTATTGGGGGTAAGAGTAAGACGAAGAATGTGATGTTGCAAGTAACGGATTGCTTTGTCTTCTTCTTTGGGTGTCGTAAGAGACCATATGGGCCAACCCTTCTCCTTTTCCCATTGCTTTATCCCTGTATTTATTCGGCTGCGGGGTCCCTTCATTTCCTCCTCAAGTTATTTAATCACAATAATTATAATTAACATGTATCACATAATAAATTAAACCTTAATTACAATCCCGGAGCAACCGTAGGTTTTGATACTTTTTTTTTTTTGTAACGGCGGGAACCCAGCCACAGCCCTTCGGGCGCGGTGATAAACCCTCCGGTTCCATGTAATAACCTGCAAACCACGTGGAACAGGTAAACCACCCAAAGGGTGATATGCTCGCACGTAAGAAAATCGAGATTCAAATTGAAAAAAAAATGCAAACGGTGGCGGCATTCGGATTCTCATGTTAGGTGCGTCCCATGTGTTTTTGCATGTGTTGTATATAAGCATACATTAGGGTTGTAGGTCTTCTTATATATTACATTGTGTATAAGCATACAAGAGAGGACTTTAAATAATTTTTTTTTTGTTGGGGTTTGAAAAATGAAAGCGTGGAGGCATTTCACCGGCGAGATTGGCTCAAAACATAGACTTGAGAGCATATGATAAGGCTAATAAGACCACATGGGAACATAATTTACGTGATTTTCCTTTATTTTTTTAAAATTATAAAGAAGCTTTTACGTGGCTAATCACCGCTTAGGGTTAGGGATCTATACACAGAAAGATTATAAAATGATGGGAACAAAGATTCTCATAAAGCAACAAAAGCATCCATCGACATCGTCACTATAAATGTGAAACTGAGTTGAAATTTAATAAATAAATAAATAAAAAATGGTGGTTCAGGGTTATTTGACTTCTACTCAAAGGTTAAATCGGACCAAAAAAAAAATTAGACGTCGCATCAAACGTCAACAAAAGGAAATCATAATGCAAACGGTTCCCGTTTTCAACTCCGTGAATTATGGGGACACAAAAGGGTAGTCGAGAAACCGAACGCATTGAGTTATGTTATTATGACTTATCGCGATTCTAATATATATGTATATGTGAATATATATACATATAATATATATATATATATATAGTAAATGTTGCGATGATGATGATGATGTGTTTTGATGGTTAATTTGAAGCATGATTTCGATAGGTTGAAGCTCATATTGTTAATGAAACTGCTGACGGTTTCCACTGAGTCCTTTGATACTCGAAACTAGAGATGTTGGATTCAATACTTAATGTTTTATTGCGATTGCGATTGTGACAATTAATTTCTCAGTCACCCGCGATCGCCAATCGCGAGGACAATTGCGTTTCTACCGGTTACATCCTATATGTATTATCCCCAGTTTATCCGTTATTGGGCCTTTCCTGAAAAGCCCATTCAGACCTAACGATGATGATCTTCGCATCTCTACGGTCGGATCGTGTAAACATCAAAATAATATATATTTTTTTATAATCTGAAAATTTACCTTGACCCGACTATATCTCTAAAAATATTGAAAAATCCATATAAATATTTCTATTCCGAACCCGAAAAAGAATTTTTTTTTCGGTTAAACCATCGAATAATACAAATTTTTTTATAATCGAATAATCTGATCCGAACAATCGAATCCCCAAAGGCTCACCTTACTAACACAATTACTTAAAAAAAAATTGAATCTTTATCCAATAAAACTGTAACTTCTTCCCGAGAAGAACAGAGCAGATCACTAATTTCCAGAATCCATGCCAATATTAGACTTGGTGATTGGGATGACGAATGTACCCCTGTGTATTTGCGATATTTACAGGTATGCCATTAATTAGGGTTGATTGTCTCTTCTTCAGCAGTGGACAGTGGCACTTCTTCGACGTCCCGTCTCTCGCCCTCTCGTCGCGATTCACCGGTCGCCGTCCGTCTTTGGCGCTCACCTCGCCTTCGTCTCTCTTGCCTTTCGGTTTTGGGTCTCACCTCAGGTGTGTTAGGTTTTTATTTATTTATTTTAATTTTCTCAATTAGGGTTTCGATTTCGGTTGTTAGAGCTTCGATTTCGTTTGTTAGAGCTTCGATTTCGTTTGTTTCGTTCGTTTAGGGTTAGGGTTAAGGTTTCGGTATCTTTTCCGGCGAGTTTTGTATTTCGATTGTGTACAAGGTTTCAATTCGCTGATTCATGATAAAAGTCACAAAGCACATTGATTTAGAGGTGTTAGTAGGAATTTTAGGACCTGGTTGTTTCACTGTTTCTCCGTATGTTGTATGCTTTGTCCTCAATCTTAGTTTGACATTAGTGTAAGATCTCTCGAGTTTCGGTTTTTGTTTGGGCGATGCGTAGCCATGAACCATTGCTTCCATAATGTGTTCTTTGCTGTATCATAGCATCAGGGAGTTCTTTTGAGACTTGTCTTCCATAAGACAAGAGGTTGAAAAGGGGGTATATTAGAGCTGTAGCATATATTGATGGAATCGATTTTATTAATAAATTTGTAATAGTTTTTGGATTTTGACACATTATGATTGAAATTATATGCGTATTTCATGAAGTATCTTTCAAATTGGATGAATCTGTTTTTTTTCTGTTCTCCAGGAATTTTTTTTTTGGGTACTTTTCTTTTGCTCTATTTCGGTTTGTTGGGTTTACTGTCTGTTTTATTTTTTTAATTGTGGTTTAATAGCAAGTTCCAAATTTCCAAGAGGTTTTTATTGCTGAATTTCGGCTTCGAACGACTTAAGTTGCTTAAGTATCGTATCAAATTTGAGATTTACTCTTAAAACATACAGGTCGGATAGTTGTATTGGGTCGGGTTATGAAGCCGTTGGGCCCAAATATGAATCAACCCTAATCATGTCCAGGGGTTCTTCAAATTTCTCTGATTGTCCCTTTTGTTCGATTAATCGCTAACGGTCTTCAACCCTCTTCATCAGCAGCAATCTCTCTATCAAATCTGATTGTAATCTCGCTGATTTCAGACACTTGATCTTTGACAATGGGCAAACCCAGCAAAGGGTGCGTATTTCGTCCCTTGTTCAATCGATAATTCAACCAACCTTCGTTTCTGCTGTGCAATTTTCTGATGTTAATTTGTCTCGCAGACCGGATACAGTGTCTAAAGCTGACAAAAAGTTCGAGAAGAAGCTCCAATTTTACGCCAGTGAGGACGAATTTTGAAGCTTTTGATTCGGGAAATCAATTTATTTTCTTAGTTTGGCCGATCTCTTACCCCTTTTTTTTCGCGTGCAGAGGTCAGAGACACTGTTGCTTCTCTGTCTGTCCAAAAGGAAATCGAAAAGGTGAAAACTTTACTCCTCATAAGCTCCCAAATTCTTCATCGCTTATTTCCCTTGGAAAAAATTGAAATCTTCATTAGGTCTTGGTAATGGCTGTTTCCGCTTGTAGTCATGTTTATACTGGGTTGGTCTATTTCATTCCGATGTTCTTGTTTCCGGTATTGCTTTTTTTCCGTACCATGGAATTTTGGTCAGTTTAGTGCTGTCTGAATCTGATGCTGTAGTTGCAGTGTTGCTATTGGAACTGCTAATTCCATCTTTGTCTATTACTATTAGTAGTTCAATTGTGGTCTTTTGGTTGGCTCTTATAGCCTTGAAGAGCTTTCTTAACTACACTATTCAAGTGTACTTTCTGTCTGCTATTTAGCTAGTTTTGAATATTTTAGCTTTCCATAAGATGCGCTGAGGGAGTTGGTTGTTTCATTCTTTTACCAGAAAAAGAAAAGACGTGGACGTCAGAATAAACTAAAGGCGTATGATCTCTCCGCCCTCTCGGAATTCCTTCCCGAGTTCAACGCTTCACGAGAATCAGCAGCTCCAACGGTGTACGCGAAGCTGAACTGCAAAAACAGGCAAAAGCTCATGTACGTCCCTTCTTCTTACCAGTTCGTAATACTCCATTGTTGCAAGTCATTAGCAGTGATCCATTCTGCTCATAAAGAACAGATTTTGAAGTTTGCGTATGTTTTTTTTTTGTTTTCACTACGGCAAGCTCATAGTAGTCGTGTATTGGCATTTGATGAGGTCGTATCGCGCGTGTGTGTGTGTATATATAGACTGGAGGAAGGGAAAAACCTGAGCAATGTACTCAACCATCCGGCCTTTCAAGCTGATCCATTCGGTTCGATCCATCAGCATTTGCAGAGCACGCAGCCAGCGGTGGAGGAGCAACCGAAGAAGAAAACAAACAGAAACGGAAGCAAGAAAAAGAACAGGAGGAAGGGAAAAGCTTCGTCTCAACCTCAATCTATGGATATGTGATTCTGTTCTTTCCAAGACAGCTTCATTTTTCCGGTCTTTGGCCCAAAAGTGCTTTTGTTATGTTTTTTTTTGTAGAGGGAAGAACCTGCAGAGTTTTGTCAATCGCCGCAGATTTATCCTCTTTTCCTGGTTCTAGTTTAATCAAGAATCGATAAAATTGAATAGTTTGATCAATCTTGTTTTGTGTCCCATACCGTATACACAATAAAATGAGATTATTGTTGAAGAGTAACCACTAGCTAGTGTGGTTTATTTGATTTCGGTTATTTTAATTATAGAAAAATTGTAAACATTAAATCGGTTCGCTTCTATTTTATTTTGGATTTAATTCGGTTTAATTTTTATTATTAAAAATACTTCTTTTTTTAAAAAGAAATTTTCAGTTTTTCACCTGTTTGGGACTAATTTTTCGAATTTAAAAAAAATCATAAACATCAGAATTTGATTACTATTACATATTATTTGGTTCAAATCAATCCAATTACTAGTCAAATAATTGCCTTAGGTGACCACCCAAACATTTATGCAATTCCCAAAATCTGAGAATCTACCATTTCCTTCGTATTATTTTGGGTTTGTATTATATTATACGCCTTATATTCTAATAAATCTTCAAGTTTATACCTCTGGTTTCTAACAACGTTCTGATAAATCTTGAAAGTTTATATGAGTCATAAACAAACATAAAAAAAATTATAGTCTCTTCTTTTGGCCAAGGATAAGCTTTGCAACCAAAAGAAGTGCTCCTCAAAAGTCCAAATAAATTTTTTTTATATAAAAGATAATAATAAGCAAAGATTGATATCTATGTTTTATTATTATTATTATTGAAAAAGGCATTTTGGCTAAATAATTGATGAGAGAGAATACTGCACGGAAGCCGGGGTGTTCCACCAAATATCCTCGTCCGGATCTCTGTGTAAAAACATAATCATCATGTTATGTGCCCTTTCTCTCTCTCTCTGTCTATATATAGAATAAGTGTTGGTATCTTATTTTGTGTCAACATCATCTCATGTTACCTACTCTTTCTCATTCGTGGCCTCTAACTTCCCCTTGCCCATATACCACACTGCGACTGCGTGATCCCATTCTGCCCAAAAAACCAATCAACGTCTATATACGTAATTGATTTCCGCGCCATATATCGATAATCCAATACTTACAAACAATCAATGCATACATATATATATATATGTACACATACATGAGAAATATTACATTTTTATATATAATTGATGTTCGAGGCGGCGAAATACAATTGAACGCGCCGGGCGATTTCACTTTTCATAGAATATATATAAAGAGGACATCGGATACAAATCTAACGGTGTGATTTAGTTTTAAATAAAAAAAGGCATATGGGTCAAAAGAATATTTTGAGTGGAGAATGAGGCTTTTCTTTTCCTTTACATATATGGGTTTTTAATTATTCTTTTTCTTTCCATATTGCCATTTTATCTCTTTCTGATTCTCAAAGCCCGAAACCAGACGCAACGAAAGTTCTAGAGAGAGAGAGCTGTATCCTTTTGGTGATTATCCGAATTCTTGATCCGCCGTATTTATTTCCCACCTGCTAATTAAAACATCCAAAATCAGATAAAAAGTTAATAATAATAATAATAATACGTGACAATCATTTCGGGTCGGTAACGTAACATCAAAGAAAGTAATAACAATATCAGGCGTAATTTATAAAAAAAAAAAACAATATCAGACGTAAGCTCTAAAACTAGTATGGCGAATTCTCCAATTTGTCATAATATTATGATTATAAAGTTTAAAACTTTGTGTATATTCTTAAAGAGATAAGCTCGAAAAGTGACAAAGCATTGCGATGAAAATGATGTATTGAAGTTTTTTTTTTTTTTTTTTGTTTTTTTAGGAGAAGAGAGTGAGGGATTTACGTAATAATTTACCTTTAGCTCTCTCGCATGATTTTGCAATGAAAGAAAGAAAAACTACGAGAAGCATAACCCCGGCGATTAGGCCAACTATGATTGCGAGTGTTTTCTCTATCTCGTCATCATTGTTGTGATCATTCCCACCTACAATTCAAAAATATAAAATTTGTAGCAATAATCACAACGATATTATCATAACATGATCTTTTTGTATTAAACCCTACTTTTTATAATCACTGTTTACTATAAAACGAATATATATATATATATGTATATATATGTATATAATCAAGTAGATTATAAAGTCATCACAAAATCCTCCTCGTCGCAGTTAATTTTGAGGTGAGTATTATCTCATATAAAAACACACACGTGTGTGCATGTTACGAGTTGAACATCAATGAATGAATGTACAGATCCGAATGCGAATGCATTTCCCAAATATATTTGGTGTATTATCATATATATATATATACATATATATAGGACATGACATACAATCAGACCGAATATGAAAAACAATATTGTAACTCAGAAAAACAATTAGAACTCTAAAAAAGAATTAAATACAATAATAATGAAAAGAAAAAGCCGCGGCCCACGGCGGAGGAGAGAGGGCTTACCATAGCCATAGGCCCGCGAGTGGATTCCACGTGAGGAGTAACGCGCGTAGCACTTCGCCAAGTACACGTCACCCCAAGCGGCGTTTCCGCAATCCGATTTCAGCCGTCCGATCGCATCCATCACACAATCCTGGCACTCGCTCGCACTCAGATCTCCGGTGCACTGCGCCACACCGCGCACCTCCCCGGAGCCACCCACCCTGTACGCCCCACCATTACTCGCCGCCATGTAACCCACCACCGAGTCGCGCCGTGCCAACTCGTCCGAGTCGTAACTCACCGGTGGCCCGCACCGCCGCAGAACCACCGTTTTGTCCTCGACACCGAGGAAGGTGGCGTTGTCGTACTTTACGAAGCAGCCGTCGAGCTGTAACGCGCCACCGCACGCGCCGACGCAGAGGCTCCCGAGGCGGCTGACAGCGCGGGCTACGCAACGGGCGCAGTCGCCGGCGGCGTTGGAGAGATCGCCGCGGCACTGGTACATTCCGTACACCGTGTCCTGACCTTCGCCGGCGGTGAAGTTGTTGTAGTTGTAGAGAGCGGCTGAGTTGACGAGCGAAGTCAACACCGAGTTGGCGTTTGACTCGTACGGTGACCCCGGCAAGTACTTGGGCTGCGAGCAGCCGCCGTAGGGGAAGGGGT